CTCTCTCTCTCTCTCTCTCTCTCTCTCTCTCTAAATTTTGGACACTGATAAATGATTCGGTCTTATTGCCTTTTATTTTGCTGAACATTTTATTTACTGTGCTCATTTCTTTGTGCACAAACCTGATATACTGTTTAGAAGTTTACACTGCATTAATTGATGTTTTTTTCCAATTTTTATTCTCTTCTACCAGGTACCCCATCTTGTTTGGATACATGTGATGAGTTGGCAACAGATCTGAACCTGCGTAGTATAAAACCACTCCTGTTTCAGTGTTGTTGAGTTTTAGCAGTATCTGAATATTTTGATTACTGTATCAGATAATCGCATTTTGTGATTTGATCCTTTCAAAATGGCATGGTGGAAAATAGGCGCATTTGTTGGATTTGTAACAGCTGCTGTCCTGAGAAGATTGTTGAGGAACAGTAGACTATGCCCAAGTAAGACCCAAATGAATGGTAAAACTGTCATCATAACCGGGGCCAATTGTGGCATTGGAAAAGCTACAGCATTAGAGCTAGCTCGAAGAAATGCTAGAATTATTTTGGCTTGTCGTAACTTAGCATCAGCTGCAGAAACAGCCAAGCAGATATGCAGATCAACAGGAAATACAGAGATAATTCCTCGAGCCCTTGATTTGAGCTCCATAAAATCTATCAGAGAGTTCAGTCAGGAGATTCTTTCGGAAGAACATCGAATTGATGTTTTGGTTAATAATGCTGGTGTTTTCCAATGTCCTTACAGTAAAACTGAGGATGGTTTTGAAATGCAGATGGGTGTGAACCATTTCGGTCATTTCCTCCTTACGTCTCTGCTCACAGAGAGGCTAAAACAGTCAGCCCCGAGCAGAATTGTTATTGTGTCATCAGCTCTTAGCAAAAGGGGCTCAATTAATTTTGATGACATTCACAGTGAAAAGAGTTACAACAAAATGAAAGCTTATGCAGACAGTAAGCTCGCAAACCTCATGTTCACTAAAGAGCTCAGCAAGAGACTGGATGGCTCTGGTGTTTCAGTATTAGCACTGCACCCTGGGATGGTCGCTACTGACATTGCTCGGCACGTTGTGTCAAGAGTAACTGCCAAGCTTTTTTCCCCTATCGTTGTTGCACTAGGCTTGAGGGATGCCAGTGAGGGTTGTCAGCCAGTTGTTTACTGTGCCAGTGCAGAAGAACTGAAGGGTTGTTCAGGAGTTTATATCAGTAAATTGTGCAAGGAATGTGAGTTTCCCAGCAGTGCTTGTGATGAAGAACAAGCTAAAAAACTCTGGGACATCAGTGAACAGTTAACGAAGACAAAGTTCCCTTAAGGGTGGAAATAACATGTTCCTGATTATGTATGTAGGTTTAATTCCCTTACCACCTACATGCTTATACTAGTAACAGAAAAACCACTATGAAACCTTCCTCTATAATATCAGTCTCAGGTGTGTATTTTAATGCATTATGTTGTGTGTATAGTTTGTTTGTCCAGGGTTTTTTTTATTGTTTTTTAAGGGGGTAGGGCTTGTGTGTGTGT